CTACGTCCATCCGTTTGGAAGTTATTGGCAAAAAACAAAAAAACAGTTTTTTGCAAATAACTCGTTAACTATTGGCACTAGCGAAATCTTTTTGCACAGAAATTGTAGATCTCGTCGTCCCCTACAAAATGAGCCTATAAACGTCCCCCTACGTCCATCCGTTTGGAAGTTATTAGCAAAAAACAGAAAAACAGTTTTTTGCAAATAACTCGTTAACTATTGGCACTAGCGAAATCTTTTTGCACAGAAATTGTAGATCTCGTCGTCCCCTACAAAATGAGATCACAAACGTCTCCCTACGTCCATCCGTTCGGGAGTTATTGACGAAAAAGGAAAAGGATTGTCCAAAGTTCGCTGAATTCGATGGGCGAATTTCGCCAATGCCAATAAAATGCAAATTAATCATACTTAACTCGTTGAATATCGAATTTAGAAGCAAGAGAACTTTTATTTATAGCACATAGCTGGCTCAGTTTCGTAATTACTAGCTGTTCACTGACCTTAAACGATTTTTTGCACATGGCGTCATTTAGCATTCGCCACTGCGAACCCGCTTGGCTCCGATGACTGCGGTTCAGAAGGAAGCCTGCTTGTCAGCCGTGGCTCAGAAGGCAGCGGCCGCTTGTCAGCCATCGCTTCTCGATAGATGGTGGTCCATGTCCCTTTCTAGATTTATGCAAAAATTGCAGCAAGCAATATAATAGATTCAATCTGTTTCTCAACGTATTTGCGCTAAGGGATTGAGAGTGTGTCAATTTTTAGCGATTAGAAATGTGTCTGGTAGCTTTATACATAACATAGCTTATTCTCGTACAAATGCAATTTTCCCTCCCTCTCGTCTAAGGGATTATTCTGGTATAGATTTAAATTTCGGGCTCGATACTTTCAAATAAACGGACGCGTAGTTCGCGCGTAGGCTGCGTCCGTTTGTCACGTTTATGAAAATATTTAGCGTCTGTTCCGTGGCACATAAAACACTTTTGAGCTTTTTGCTGGGACTTGTACCGAAATCAGTTCGCAAGATCTTTCTTCTTATGAAATCTTTTAATTTAGATTGTACAAAAGGTTGATTTAGAGAAAAGTCACATACAGAATTTTTCTAATCAACCGTACGCGTCTTTCTCGAGGTGAATGCGCCCGGAGGAATATGTACACGTTTGTACGAATTTTCGTGAACCTGGTATAAGGCAGGAGAAACGCAATAACCGCGACGTGAAACGGAACGACGACGGCCTGTCTTTGAAAATCGTTGGTACGTACGCGTGTGTGCAATGCCCGTACGATACACGGTTGTGAAGAATGTATGGGTCGTACGGTATTGGGCGTTGAGTAAGCTGATCTATGGCCCCATTTCACTGATATTAGCCACCAAACCGAGATTCTTGTTTCTCCTATTTCTTCCGGTTTTTGTTCGCGTTTTGTTTGAGGAATCTCGACGGTATTGCGCCGGGATTACTGGTAATCGACAAAGTATGGACCGATAAATCCGCGTTTTATTCATACGGCCGTTCGATATGGGGGGCGAGAATAAAAAGGGAAATTAGTACACGTAAACTCGGAAACTTTTTATTCTCTCTGTTTACTATACTCGTGATTTCGTATTCCACGGGGGAGAACATGCAAATACTTGCTATTCTTCTTTTCCACGGGAAGAATAGTCGGCAATTTGATTAAACGAACTTGGTTTCTTCTCCTCTATGCGGCTGGTTCGAGTTGATGAAAATGCGAGAAACAAATAAGTCGATTCACTGGATGTGTCCCGGCGCAAGGTTCGTCGTCTAAATGGGGACACCGTAGATACACAAGTGTCTGCGTTGTTAGCTCAAAGTCCAAGTATGCCGGTTCGCAGCCATAAACGCCGCAAACTTTGCTTATTTATGGTTTAGGCCGGTACGTACCGCCGATACAACTTACCCCGCTGCATAGCTACTTTTCGTCTGATAATATTTATTTGCCGTTACTATGTGCATGTACATAGTAGATAGTTAGACATCGCCAGCGCAGGGCCAAGCAGGAAGAGAATGGCTTTTATGCATGAAAGTTCAAACTGCGTAACAGCTTTAAAGCTGCTATATATCGAGGGCTCAACGTCTATATTAAATTATGTTAGCAGGGGAATTTTCCCATAAGCTAGCTACGAATACGTCCCTCCCTGTTCCAATCTAACGCTTCCGCCCATTAACGAGTCCAGTTAGACAAAGAATTGCGGAATCTTCTCCACGCGCATTCTATTTATTCGCGTCGAATTTATGGGGTGACAAACGAGGGGAAACGTAGGTTTGGAAATAAAATTTTGATCGTACGATATTCACTGGGAACGAGCGCGGTAGGATTTGTGCAAAATATAAAAGGTAGCCGCCTCCCTTTATCCCACAGTAAATACATACGTACATAGAAGTAAGTGGTGTACTTACATAAATTGAGGAAAACCCAAGTGAAAAGCGGCACTTTTATTCTATTTCCTTTTATTTTCCAAACGAAACTGCTCGTTCTCCGTTTTTCTACAAGACAAGAAGAATACTTACCGTGGGCCACGCGTATACGTATACGCGCGAGCGCACGTGTCTCCGGTACACTCGCGTAACGTGTTTGCGAATAAACACAACGTAGCAGTAATCCCAATGCTCACTCTCTTCGGTCCTATCCTCTCTCTCCTTTACGTGTCTCTTTCCAATCCTTTCCGTATCCTTTGTCGTTCAGAATAAACCGGCCGCTTGTGTGTGTCCGCCTCTTTTAGTTTTTTTAATACCCGAACAGAAGGTAAACGAGCTCCCCCGGGAGGGACGAGGAAATATAAAATATGAAATAAAGGAGGGATAGTTGGTATTCTCGGCTATGAATTTTTCTACCGTACTGCTACTTCTGCTCCTTTCAATTTCCCCGTAATTGCTCAGAAGCTAAACGCTCTTATTGTGTCACGTGTATGCGTACAATTTTTCGAGGCGATTCTCACTCGGACGGGAATGGACAAAAGGAGTTAAGGAAAAACCCGTGTCAGACATCTCGCTGGTCCCTGAAGCCTCTTTTTATTACCAACCAGATTTGCATTGTAAATTCGTCGGCCGCAGTCGGCCGCAGTCGGCCGACAAATGAGAATTTAATATCGTTATGCAACGCTAACACGCGATTTCTTTCTACACTTGACGTGTTTCCCTCTTTCGCCGTGCATAATTCACATTGCCAGATTTATACCACTATAAGTACTTTGAGCCATCGATAGTTTCTACTTGGTCAAATTACAAAATAACAAGTCGTAACGTTTGTTCTTTGTAAACGTTTATTTACGAATTCGTTTCAATGTACAAAAATCTGTCAATCGACGCTGGTCGCGTCGCCTGGATTAATTTAAATAACGAGCTTCCTCGACGGTACCGGGTACGAGTATCCATCGCCTTGGCTGGCCAACAAAGTGGACGAAATCCCAGATCCAACCTGGACCGTACTCGGTACACCATAGCTCTTGCTCGGCAAACTGAACTGACCCAGCAAAGCTCCGTTGCCATTGGCATAGCCGACGCTCGGAAGACTTAGCTGAACTCGGCTCGGAGGGCCAGCGATTGGACTCGGAACTCCATACGAATCGCTGGGTACATTAGATAGCGAAACGGAGCTTGCGACTCCGCTGCCGAACGTGGAGCTCACGAAACCTGGTTGAGACACGAACGACACGCTGCTGGCTGGTGCGGGTAGAGCGTAAGACGGACCCGCCACCGACGAACCCGCCACCGACGAACCCGGGACGCCGTAAGTCGAAGACGGAAGTGCTGGAACGGTGAAGGCTGGCGCTGGTACAGCCGAGATAGCAGCCACCGATTGTATCGGAGATGAAACTGGAGCTGGAACACCGTAAGCCGACGATGGGACAGTTAAAGATGAAACTGGGGCGAAAGCTGGAGCTGCATAGGTCGGAGACGGGGCGCCGGTAAAAATGGAAGAAGGTGCCGCCGGTGGAAGATATTGCGATCGATAAGACGAGCTTAAGGTGCCACGCTTCTCGATGCTCTTTCCGTTGCCAACAACGATCGTCGAAACGATTAAGACAAAGATCTGAAACAAATGTTGTACATGTACTTACTTTGTACGTGTTGACGCGCAAATTCAATTTGCTCGTGTACTATACTCGGTATCCAGAATTGTTTTTCACTTACCACGGAGTTGTTCATGGTGGTGTCTCCAGCTGAGATGGTAAGATCGAATTGTGACTCTGACATGCGACTCGATGCTTTTTATAGTCCTCCTTTCACTATGTAAAAATGCAAAAAATCTCTTCCGAGATGTTCCATTAATTAAGAGTTTGGAAATATGCATGTAACGTTTGGGGCTTATGTAAAACTGCTAAACATTTAACGTCTCGTTTAATTTTTATCACAATTATACATCTATTTGATACGTTTTTAAATTGATTTCGATTAAATATTATGTACGAGTCTCGTGAATCGTTCGTCCAACATTATAATGAAAAACGAGAATTTCCACAATTAATTGAATCGTTTCATCGATCGTTTCACAGATCTGTAGTACATAATTAATGAATCAGTTCATTTATCACTCATCGACTAGACGACATTGAACGTTAAGTTATCACACACGTACAAGAACTATATATTTTATACCGGATAATTATATTCTTTTCTACGAGTTATGCAAATTTTTCGGAATTATGCAAATCGTTAACCTGCAGAAAGTTTCGCATTCGCAAAATGCGAGATACATGCCGCTACCAACCGGATGCCGTGCCACACACACACACACATCTATCACCCTCTGAATTTATTGTGTAAACGTTGAAGTTATGTAAAACATAGAAAAGAAAAAACGGGATCTTTCTCTCGACTTCTCTTCCATCCAGAATTCATTTCACTGATCGAAATAGCGAGGCACGAAGCTTCCATTCTCGCATTGAAATTGATACGCGCTCGTAGCAGACAGTGTGCGTGTGTATGTGTACGATTATATAAATGGTATTCTCTTTGATTCGCTTGCTCGAGACAAAGGGTACGTCGGAAGGAATTTTATAACAAAGCTATAAGTACAAGGGGAAGAAGTTACACTTTTTTCCTTTCCAAGCACACACAGCGATAGAGACGTAAAGACTTAATTAGCGAGCTTGATACCTAAGTACTCGGTAATTACGTTAATTACAGGCTCGTTAAGATTCCTCACTTTTTTTTTACGGCTCTTCTTATATTTCACGTCACGACGAGAGGAGAGCAATTCGAAAATTACGAACGCATTGTCACGTCGCGTTCGTCGTTGAGATCGCGCGAGATTTCTCCGGAACCTTCCAATTAATTATTCATTCTGTACGAGAATTTTGAACGCCGCGCGACAAATCAGTCACGGTGAAAGTCGAAGAATCGGGCCGGTGTCCAAATTGAAAATGCACGAAAGTTTCGCGTGAATCTTGGCCGCTTTAATCCAAGTGTATTAGTCGCGTGAACAATAGTTAGCACCTACTGGCACGGTATCTACGTGTATGTGTAGCAGTCTCGTCGCGCGACCGTTTCTAACGTGAAAATGGCAGGCAGGCCGAAAGGAAAACGATGTATACATATACATATGTACGTATGAATATATATACGAGTATAGTGGGTAACACTCCAATTAAGCTGAGGCATCAGTCTACTGTCTACAATGTGTCTACAATGTGTCCAAAGCCTAGAGAGCTTCACAATGAACACCATCTCTCTCTCTCTCGTCTCTCTTGTTCTTCCTCTCTCTTGTTCTTCCTCGATATTAGCTGTGTTACAAAAAGTAGTGAGTCTGTACGTATGTTCAGCCGCACGTTTCCCTCGTGGTCTATAATTAATTTGGAGAACGGTCAATCTTCAATCTTTCGAATATATCGTTGTCGTCTGTCGAAACGAAATCGGAAAAGCTTCGGTGATAACGTTTTAACGCTTAAGTAAAGTTTGTCGTTTAAACTGGCGATAGTAAACGTAGTACAATAATTTGGCCAGATTATGGAAACGAGCATGCAAACAGGCGGACGACCGGCCACCGTGCGCCAAGGATAATGGAGTATTACGATAATTACGCGAACGAATGAATGAATGAATGAACGTTATTCATTGTCGTTAAGCCTCCTATGAACGTACGAGCGTACATGTCTGTATGTACGTTTCCCTCTGTGGAAAGTTTTCGAAGCGCCGGTAAAGGCAGCTAGACCGCGGATAAAATTCTCCGTGGTTCAATCGACTCGTCAGATTTTCTTTTCCACGAGAAATCGATGCCAGAGATCTTTGGCCTGCCGCTTGCCACGTGAACCAGAAATCTCGCCGAACGGCTTCAGGATCTCTCATAGACCATCGGCGCGAGAACGAGAGGAGCAGAGAATTAGGGAAGAAAAAAAAAATACACGAGTCCACCGCGAGCGAGCAGGAGACGGATAGAGAAGGGGGGGGGAGGGAGAGAGAGAGAGCGGTCGATGGTAATTAGCGGGAAACGCAATTACGGGCATTTAATTAAAGCAAGTCGTCATGCTGCCCCTCGCGCCCCCACTCCGGTCCCTTGTTACTCCTAAAACAACCCTTAAAGTCGTCGCAGCTCGCGCCCTTACTGGTTCCACAGCTTGAACCACCGAAATTTCAGTTCTTCTAATTTTTTCTTCTTTACGGAGTGCGAGATCTCGAGCCGCACGACAGCGGTTCTCATTAACATCTGTCTGTCTATCTGTTCGTTCAATGGCGAATCGCGGTCATTCTGTCGTAGCTTTCGTCTGTTAGAGTCGCGCGTGTCGAAGGAAATGTGTTATACGCGAGGCTCCAGTATAAATATGTGACGCTCGGCGTAATTGACAAGACATATCATACCTGGAATTGAGGAATCCAAACGCAAATTACTCGAACCGTTGAAACCGACGAGGATCTCCATTGAAGGGCCTCAACTTGGCATCCGTGCCACACGCACGCCCGTGGCGTCACATCATACCCTATCATATCAGATATCACGATACGTTCTCGATCGAGAGCTACTTGTCACTCCGCGGCTGCTCTCGAATTTTCATGACGAGCACCCGGATAGGACAGCAGCCGTCCACCGCTGATCGTTCGATTAAATCCCAATCTTTACCCGCGTTCAAACATCCACCATATCACCTGTGGCTCGCTGCGAAAAGTGCCAATGCCATGTTTTTTTCGAAAATCAGTCGAACCCGGTATCGAGTTTCTACAATTGTACATTTCGTATACGTATAAAAAAAAAAAAAAACCCCAAAAAAAACGATAGTTTAAAATTCTGTCTGTCAGTGACACGACCAAGCTTTAATTCTCTTTCCATGAATTAGAAATTTGAAACGTCGAAAGGTGATGCAGTTTTTTCCAACACTCTTGCGAAGAACAGAGGGACGTTCTGTCTAAAATTCACTTGCGCACGAACCGTCGTCGTTGCAAAGACTTTTCCCGTAGGACTCCGTTAACAACGCGCGAGTTCTAATATTAATTAGTCCGACAATAAATTAAGAAACGTACGTTTTGAAAAGTAAACACGTGTCACGGCTTACATCGTTTTAGCATCCTCGAAGCAATCCTCTTAAGATTATACGTCCGTAAGTATCAGCTCGCTATGGTTTTAATTCCATAAAACTTTGTAAAGCGTCTTCCTGCTGCTACGTCGGACCACATTTTCCGAGTAAGCACATTTCTCGTAAAGAGGAACGTATTCTCAATGCGGTACGTGAGAACTAACGTGAAATTGAGAATTTGCGGGGAGGGAATGCTGCGAGTTAATTATTAAAATGAGGCATTAGATTTAGCTCGACTTAGGACTTGTTCGAATTCGGCCAGTCTTTCGCTCGTGACGTTCTCGAACATGCGCGTGACGGGCAAGCACACTTGCCGACGCAGAACCTTGGGAAACGATGCGCGCGCGAAGGGGTGCACGTCGCGCGATCGAGTAGGGGATGAACGAAGAGAGGCCTGGATCAGACCGACTCCGTCCGCTTCTATCCACGCGTAGACAAGTCTTGTAACTGCCTGTAGAAGTAGACTGGACCTTCGTGGTCGATGCGAACGGTATCACAGACTATAGGGTGAATTGGAATCGTGATATACATGAACTGTAGGGTAAATACCAGGACGTAATAGTAGTGGGAGTGTGAAATTTGCGCGCGCAGCTCCGTTCGGTGCCCTCCCCGCCTCAGTCGTCCCGCAGACCGCGTCGCGGCATCTCCTCCGCTGGAAGATACGCCTAAAAGTGTACGCGTCCATCCATAACGATCACAATTAACATTAATTATGTTCTCCCCCGATCCATTAACAAGGTCGGCCGCGACGTCTGCAAGCATTGTTTATAGGAAAAGTGTCGCGAGCGTGGATTAAAAAACGTTTGAACCGGGTTTCGTATAACGTGGGAGGGTTCTAATAAAGGTCCCAAGGTCAGTTTTGTACAATAAGTGAAGGGGGAACTGAATTTGAAAAAGTCACGACGGTAACCATCGCGTCCCGGTCGGTGAATTTTCGCTGCGACGTCGAGGAAAACGTACAATTTGGAGTTTTAAGTCGCCATTTTGAAGCGAAAGTCTCCATTTTGGCAGGGAAACTGCGAAATGAAGGTTAAAAAGTGAAAATTTAAGTGCGTACCCAATTTCACGTGGTAATTCTCTGAAAATTAATCCACGGACTCCATTTCGAGGCCGAGTCGTCGGCTTAAAGGGAAAGTCTTCGTTATGCAGCGGAGGCCGGGGAATGCGTTTAAAACGAGAAAATTCCGCTCCGAAGCCATGTTCCGGTAAATAATTTACCTTTAAAGGACCAGGTTTGAGGTTACGTGTCGCCATTTTGGAACAAAATTTGAATGTCAAATTCGAATAGCCGGGGTGTATCCGTAAGATTTCGGCCACTCATCAAGCTATAAATGCATACATGAAGGAATTCCCATCGAAATCAGCTTTAAACAGTCTGCTGGAAGGTGACGACGTCGATCTACAACAGAGATTCAGTCGTCAAAACTGTAAAATAAATGCGAAACGAAAAGCTCGTCGATTATTCGTTAAAACAATTTAACGAGCGAAACGAGTTTCGACCGAATCACCGGAGAGAATCACTTTGCGGGAAGGGTTCGATTCGTAAATTCGACCGCGTGATAACAGTAAAAAATTATCTAAATCGCTCTATCGCTCTATCTGCGAAGCGTTTCGCAGAAGATATCGAGACCTGAACGAGGCTTCGAGTGAGAGTCACAAGTAATTTGCCAAATACATATGGTGTTTGAACGGTGGTTCGCAATACGTAAAGTGTCTGAACGAGTGCTGAAACCAATTGTAAATAGAATTCGAATTAAGTGTTCGATGAAGAAAAGAAAAGTTGAAACAGTGTGTCAGTGTCAAACGGATTTACCGATTTATTTATAACGATATAGCAGAAATCTAAGAAAAAGGTAATTAAACGAAATTTAGCAATAATTTCTTATCGTCGCGTTGTCGTAGCACTTTAGATATCGTTGAATGAAAGCGCGAAATACATCCCCGACCGAACTCGTTGCCTTTAGATTTTTTTTATTCATTGAAACCGTGAGGAGCGTAGCAATAAATATCGATTATGATTTAACAGAGAAATATACCGGGCACTTTGTCAATTTTGTAAAATTGTAATTTGTATCGGAAAAAAATACATGGAACGGCTGTAATATAATTCAAACAGATTACGCAGATAAAACGGTGCGGAACGTGCGCCGAGCCACCCACTATTCTTTCGAACGATATAGTAGGTCTTTCCTATTATAATTTTCACAATTCTCTGTCTAGTGAAACGAAGGTAATCGTAGTTTTGCTTACTACTTAAGAATACTTTGTTCCCAGTCATGCCCAGGGGAAGAGAGCAAAATAAAAGGCAAAACTGAATTAAAACGAAATTGGAGACGAAATTAAAATAAGTCGAACGCATAAGACGATGTCTTCCTGCAACCGAGATGCTATTTTCAAATGGCTAAAAACGATCATCGAATCAAAATAATAAATACAAATTATCGAAATAATATTCGGTAGAAGAATAGTGAGAAAGAAAATTAATATGACCTCCCGAAAGAAGATGGCCTCGAGGAAGCCTATTAATTGACTAATAATAAACCGCGAGAGCAACGATATAATATAGCGTGGTAAGTCGGAAGAACGGGGGGCTGGAACATGGCCTCCTAAGTAGGAAAACACTAAACGCGACAAGGAACCGCAGGACAATTGAAAACCTGGAGACTTTAAAGGTCCCGAAGAGCGAGCGAAAGATGACTATGGCCAGCAACATAGTGGTGGAGTGGCTCAAGTCCCTCCACTTGGGCCAATACTCCGAGTCGTTCATCGACAACGGTTACGACGACCTAGAAATATGCAAACAGATAGGTGATCCGGATCTGGACGCGATCGGTGTATTTAACCAGTCGCACAGAGCCCGTTTATTGCAATCGGTGAAGACGCTCAGGGAGGAGGGAGCGGCCAGCGTTTACTTCACCTTGGAGGAGAACACCGAGTGCATCTGTGATAACGCGAGCTCCAAGTCGTCGAGGACCTCATCGGACAGGCCTATGAGTGATAAGGAGCAGAGGGCGTCGCCCACGGCCAGCTCCTCCAGTGGGGGGCAAGAGTTGACCAAGTTCGTCGACGAGTATGAAGAAGGGAAGGCGGAGCTGGTCAGGATACCGAAGATCCAGCTCAGAATGCTGCTACAGGAGAAATTGAGACACGACGGCATCAGACTGGCGTGTCAACCGTATACAACACCGGTGAGCCAATAAACATGCCGCTCTTATCTTCGATAGGTAGCTCTCTGTTACTCATATTACGATAACGAGCTCGCCTCTTATTTATCGCTCAACGCGTGTCACTCTACGTTCGTTCCTTCGTTCCTATCTTCCATTCGTATCGTCGTGTCGTTTCATTGTTCCACTGTTTTCTTATGAATGAAACAGTACCATAATTTGGATCATCTTCTAAATCACAATTAGTAATTTCCATTCTAGTCATCGTCCTCATTGTCGTCAGACAATTTGTATCCATTCGTGAATTTACTTACGAACAAACAAGCATTTCTTCAGAATCACCAAAATCTCCTGGCTCCCTGATGTATCTCCCCCCATTCTAATCATCGTCCCCTTTGTAGTAGTACATTTTTATTGTCAGACCATTTGTATGCACCCAATTGGATCCATCTCTGAACGAACGCATGAAAAGAACGTAAAACGATTTGGGTCGTTCTAACCGATAGAAATGTTTCACCAATTTTCGTTTGTTCCTACTGAAAACGAAACGAATTTTCCAATGAGCACGATATATGTAGCTATCTGCAAACTAGAACGATATTGTTCTTCCCAACGAATCGCCGGTGATGGAACTAATTGACCAGCGAATGTAACGCGAAACCACGTATTTCGCTGGTACGCCAACATTTTCTACTCAAATAGAAAAATAAATTAATCTCGATATCAATGTCTACGCGCGCAGCGTACTTCCATCGAGAGTATCAAATCAAAAGCTACACGGAGGTACTTCTGATAAAAGTTTCACGTAGAGTACATCACTAACTAAGCAGACGATGTAGTCTCGGTTCAGGTTTGCAATTCGACTATCGTTAGACTACGGATTTTACGGGTCTGGAGTAGTAAATACATGTAAACGTTGCGCGCGATGTATCGAGCAGGCATAAAAATCTTCTTTGTTATCGCCGATAGAAATGTTTATCGAAAATGCAATTTTTTTTCTTTTTTTAAGCCTATACCATTTTGCCGCGGGAATCGATCGTAAAAGTGTTTACTTATTGTTAGTAAATTCTTGTTATGAAAACTGGTTAAATGCTCGAGTACCAAAGCGGTTAACCGGGTAAACGGGAAACGGATCGGGGAGCAAGGGAAAGGAGCTCGATGAAACAAGAGAATAAAGAGTAAAAATAGGTTCTCCTCTCTCGGAGTCTCAGAGCACGGTGGTCCGCTCGTCATCTGCTCCTTTTTCCTTCTTCTTCTTCTTCTTCTTCTTCTTCTTCTTCCTCGTCTCGTTCTCTCGGCTCCCCCACTCGTCTATCTTAATCCTTTCTCTTCTTTCTCCACTCTTACTCTCTTTCCTACCTCCGCAAACCCCCTCCCCCTCCTCCCTCGTCTATCCTCTTCTTTTTACTCGTTTTTCGGATGAATCGGGACGCACATATTCCCGTTTGCCGAGTTTCTGTGGGGCACACGTCGCCTCGTGTCGTACCATGCCTCGTAAATAACATAGAGAACGTCGAAAAAAGTCGGGGCGAAACTTCAGTCCCGCGTATTATGCATACATGTAGTACAAACCGCGGTGGAACTTTCGTCCGTGTGTTCGACATAAATACGAGCGTCTATTCAATATTTCATTTGTTGCTATTTAAATCCGCGCGGGACACGTCTTTTCAATATCGTCGGATTTTAACGGGAGGAAAATGAAAAGAGTAATTTGTAGGTGAGATCGATTTTTCATAAATCTCGGTTGAAACGTAGCAATGTGATAATTTTGATTCGTCCAACAGCAGTATAACAGAGCCGTGTAAATAAATAGAAGAATACACGTCGCGGTGTGCGAGTATAGCGTGCAAGTACAGTGGCGATAGTATCGCGAGTGCCGTAATTGGGTACGTGGACCCAGTCCTGGGTGCCCAGTCCCAGCGCAGTTTATGCCTGGAATGTTGATTCGCGAGATACATACCCGCTATGTGACGCGTGTACATAAATACGTACTCACGTAGCGAATTCTCGAGTTCCGATTCCGAGTCGAATCCCCTTACAGAGAACCTGATTAAAACTATGTCTCCCGAATTCACCGGAATATGGATTTCGGTAAACGAAATCGGTTTGTTCACGAGACACTTGGACCTAACTATCGTCGGTAATTCGATTCGCGAGGCGGAATTGATCTTCGATAGTTTCGTCAAATATGGAAGATGCGTGTCGGATCGTGGTCCAAATTGAAAAGAGACGGCGAGCTAACAGCGCGCGCGCTCACACGTACACACGTGCTTCGGATAAGACTTTCATAAGCTACGTACGTGAAAACGGGTATACACGCGCTGTTCGTATCGATTGAAACGTTTGCTCAAATATTTAAAGGCTATTACCGGCAATCCGGTCTACTCTACATACGCGCCTGCATTTTTCAATTACAATTCGATTCTGCCCTGCGAAAGGTCACGATCATTCCTCTCTAAAATGATTTTTAACGATAGCCATCGATTCGTCGAGCCTCCTTCGAGTAACAGAGCATTAACATTAAGTTGGCAACGTGGCACTACCACCGATACGTCCGTACAGTATGTACGTACATGCAACGGTATCGCTATCTATCTATAGGGGCAACATTAAGGGTGGCATTACGAGCTCGCGGGGCAATAAACATGTTTAATTGCTACGCTAATGGCGTGGAAACCCACTGCTCTCTCCTATATTCTCGCTTCCCTCTGCTGTTCCTCTTTACCGTCTCTTCCAGTTTCCTCTCATTCTCGTCGTACGTACGCACACCGAAACGCGGCAGAGAAGCCTATCGGTTTAGATTTGGCTTTGCTTTATGCTGGAATTCCATTCCGTTTAATGGTCTAAATCCTGAAAGGAAACTCGTACCGTCATACGTGCACTCATACCCGATGACAATCGACTACCGATTGACAATTGCGCGCAAGTCGCGCTCCATGTTTCAAACACCACGAATCAGATCTCAATTCGTAATGGAAAAACATCGTAAGAGGCACTGTGTAATTTCACTTGGGTCAGTGGTAAATACTTGTGTTTGAAACGTTGATAACGATGGAATGGAGCATGGAATACATGATTAAAGAGTAATTAGGGTACGCTGCTTATCTGTATAAATCATAGGAGGAAAAGGGTGGTAGTAACCGAGGATACCGTGAAACCGTTTATTAATTTGTAATTGCTAGAAAGGTAGTTATGTACTAGGTAGCTTTCCGAAAATTACAGGCCTGTCGAGACCCGGTCGCCACTATCAGGATTTACTGGCTAATAGGGTGGATAGATGGATAGCTTCTTCCGGTGTGGTCTTCCCTGCCTGTTTGTTCATCAATAATAATTAACGCGTGAGGTCGGTCATTATTATTATTATTATTATTATTATTATTATTATTATTATTATTATTACTATTACTATTATTATTATTATTATCGACGTGGACGAGGGACGATCAGAGAGTCAGATACTTATTTTCCGTTTCGACCTGTTTTCCATCATAGAACTCATTCGACGAGGTACGCACACGTTTTTAACGCTCTTTATGGGTCGGTATATTAAAAAACGTAACATCTGTCCAATGCACCGGCTCCGAGAATTTGAGAGCCGGCAAGCTGCTTTTATGCACCTGCCTGAAACGTGGTCGTTACACTGTGTATCCGTGCACCGTATACCCGTACCTCCCGAATCCTTCATTTTTATTCAGTTTCCACTGGTAATTTCGCATGAATTCACCGCGAATCGTCAAGTCAGATTTTTTTACGTTAATGACTACTGCCGCCGTCGTCCTTTCTCAACGAATTTCACCTAGAGCAGTTTCACTTTCCACGCGTAACACGTCGAGAGTGCAGCGGGACCGAAAGAGTGAAGCGCAGTAACCATCTGGCCTCGGCAAAGGATACTTTATATCGTTTGGAGGCAGGTGGAAAATAAAGTACATAAGGGTAGTGGCCGCACGTGCGTAAACGGTTAGGACCTGACCGCGTTTCATTCCTCCAGCTCAGAAACACCTGAGCTCCTTTCGGTTACACGCGGTGGTACTTACACTCGGCCACCAAAAATATCCAATCGCCAATTATACGCGTTCTAAGCAAATTGTCCGAAATCTGTCTCGCGTCGCTAATACGCTCCGAAACGGCCCTTTCGTACAATAAAAACGCTCGTCTATTAATTGGAGTCATAATTTAAATGAAATCGCGTAGATTATCCTTAGGTGAGTGAAACTGTTATATTCATGGCCGGGATAGAGGGAGGCGAAGGTGTACGTGTACAAGGAGCACAGAGAGACACGTAGCTACGTGTGCAGACCTCTCTTATTACATATGTACCGGCACATGCTCTCTTATATGTATATTCTTGCGGCTACCTCGGGGACCAGGTCGGATCATACTAATTAAATCATAGCGCAGACTTGAAATTCTGTTGTACAGAGGTACGTGTACCCGCGTATTCTCCGTTTTATTCTCGGTCGACTCGCGATCGTCTCGGCGCGTGGAGATCAATACGCCGCGGATTCTTACCTAAAAATCTGTGCAGAGACCGTTGAAATAATAATTCTTCGCCTTCGTTCATTTTTAATCAGCCCGATTGACATCCGGTCGAACATTCAATATTTCGTAATTTTCGTCGTCCTCGTTAATGAACTCGACTTAGCCCAATTCCGTTCGCTGCCAATGACGGCGCAGGCAAAATTGTAGAATATTTCGAACGCACCGAGAATGACGAATCGAAAATGAAACGCCGGTGAAAAACGTCTCTGGGAACGGGAAATGAATAGTCAATCAAGAGAAAAACGCGGTATTTTCACCCACCCGTGGCCATGTTTAGTTTATAAAAGCAGATAAAAAAAAAAAACCGTGGAATCGAAAAGAGGGAGACGGCCAGGTTGGAGATCATTTGAACGCGATTCATGAATTATTAAAACTAATTACAAATTTGGGTCAGAGTTGATTACGTGCGCCCGCGGGAAGGTTTCCGTTGCAGGGACCGTATTTAAACCGAGTTAGGGTGAATGTTTTTTNAAAAAAAAAGAAAA